AAGTTGGCAACATTATCAGCGACATCTTCGATGGCCTCAAAATAATAATGCGTCAGATGTCGCCAGTTGCACAGACATCCTCCAATTACAATTGTGGGTGCCATTCATTCAGTCCTACCAATTAGAAATCAACTGTTGTAATTTTACCTGGTGACAAGAGAGCCAGCTTCTGAAATGGTAAAATTAAAACTACCAAAATATTGGTTAGTTCCCGTAGAATTTATAATGATCAGAGTAGCACTGTAGCAATGTTTGTTTCCAAGTCCTTCAGGTTTCTTGTCATCATTCCACTGCTGCTCCATATTCACTTGAGTATCATTGTGGGATGGACAATGGGTCCATTAGGGGTCTAGTTCCACAGTTTTTTACCCTACCACAATAAAAAGGAAACTACAGCCAGACCTAACTTTGGATTAAAAGAAGTTGGAAAATGTATACATATGCATAGCATATGAATTCTTATGATTGCCAGAATCTGACTGACCATTAACATTGGTAATCACAGCAATTATTGTAATCAAAGAAAGTAGAGAAAACTGAAGTCTGATGATTCCTCACTTCAGTGCACAAAACCGCATGTACATATCCATTACTACTTGATTTTAATAAAAATAAAAATTGTAATGTTTTGACATTGTAACACAACTCCCTAATGTAAAATTTTATGAAAATCCCAACAACCATCCTTGAGTTGTTTCATGTATACAGATGGACATTAATTAGAATAAATAATGTAAACTATGTCCTATCTGCACATGTCATATTTAATCTGCAGATCAAAGGTTTATCACTGTGTTCACAAAAGACCACCACAGGACTATCCTGAGCTAGATGCATCCTGTTCAAACAAATAGTAACAGTTCATTATTTGTTTTCAAAGCAATGTCAGATGTCATGTGATATCTCTTCTGGATCATTTAACATAAAAATAATCATCATTTTTGTATATATATTACCACACCAGTACATCATTCATTATCCAAATTCTATGTCCATTATGTTGTTATTGACTAAGAAATTAAGTACAAGGTTGAGGTAGCTTCCAATGTCAATTTCCATACAAAATCTTGTGGAAATCAGTCAAATTGTTCAAAAGTTGAAAGATGAGGGGCCATACAGATAATATGGTAAAGGAAAGAAGGCTAAAAGAGTACAAAGGCAGTCTGTATGTGAATGATCAGGAATAGTATACTGTATTCCTAAGGGGTGAGAGTTTAAACCCCCAAACAATAAAGGCACAACACACACTGTGTTTTATTATTGGCATAAAATTAGAACAGAGGTAATGTGAATAAAATACATAAAGAAAATGCATGTTAAATGTTTTAATTATGAGTTATGTTGTTACAAAGAACCTAATGCTGAACTCTGAGCAAATATTACCTCATCATAACAACATTTAGAGGACTGAAGAATGCTTCATTCTTCTCTTACTGCTCCGGGCACCAACGAAACCTTTTCCGACTACAATGAAATAAAACAATAACCCTAAATTTCACTACAGTTTCATTGAAGTGTTTAACTGAAATGCCTGCAACATACTTAATGTATATAAATTTATTTCTGTATGTGTAATTTCCTTATTTTCAAGAATGAGATAACTGTTACATTAAGTAAAAACACACAAATGCAAAATGTGTAGCACTAAGATGACCAAAAATGATAAATCATGTCCATCACAGGTGACTAGGAAAGAAACAGGTGTTATAATTTCTTAATGTCAGCACACACTCTCTTTCGCAATCCTCACTTTTCCTATTTCAAATTGCTTCTCAAATTCAGTGTTGAATCAGCAATAATTGAAGCCATTCCAATTTTGTTCTACCTCAAACTGGATCACGTATTCCCATCACAGTGGGACCTTTTCAAATCTATATTACTGATTTCACCACCCGAATTATCCATAATTTTAATGTCACTTAGAACTAATCACCTTGCCAGAGTCTTCGTGCCCCTGGTACTTTGGTTTCCCATGTGTGAATGGAAGGTACCGATATTTAATCATATGCTGAAACAAGAAAAATAAACAAAAAATGATGACAAAAACAATAAACTCTACCTATGAAAGTTTTACATACATAATTATCTAATCTCTCTTCTACCTTTTTTGGCATTAATTTTATTTTTCTGAAGGAAATTTTCAAACCACAGGAACCACATTTGATGCATTCGAACCTAGTAATCACTGTTCCCCCAGAAGATATGTGGATGATGACAACACTGACAATGGCCAATCTGTGATGTGGAAGACGAGCGTCTTCATCCACTTCCAGGTTCTTCTGCTCATACTGTAACTGGTGGACACCCAGTCACTTCTGTCTACATAACCCATTTAGATACTATAGTCTTGAATGACCATAAGTTCATGGTAATACTAAATTTATTTCTGAAGTCTGAAGTTTCCTTCAGCTGGTAGGTTACAAATACTGGTCAGTGCACAGACTGACAACATACAGCCCTCAGGTAAGCTCATTCCCAAAACATTATATCACAGTTCTTCTTATACAGATCCTTTGACCCAAACCTGGATGGAACATTGCTGTAGCAGACTGTACTATAAATTATTTTCTTCTTATACAGGTCATCACACAGTAACATGAAGGAAACTACTTTCACATACAATTTATGGCCCATTCCTTGCACTTTTCAGACAAGCTGCAGTACTGTGCCATAAGCAGACATAATATCAGTGACAGAAAATTCTGTCTACAGAGCTACACATTTTGAAAGTGTAACCTGACCTGTCACAAAAGTCTGTACAGCTTTCTTTCAAAATTGTTTGTACTTTTAGGGATATAATGCCTAAATACAACTTTCCTGTGTTCGGTATACTGATACACTTCTGAAAATCTTAAATTCAGAATGTCAGATACATTTCTATGCTTCTAAAATCTGTCACTATTCAGAGAATTTTTATCAGGTAGATTTTATTGCCGGCAAAATGTAAAAGTTTTAGAATATGCAAGTATTGTTTGAGGGAAAAAGGGATTAGTCTGCTGATTGTCCTTGGACCAAGAATTCATAGAACTCTATTCGGTCATGATCCATTCAGATTTTAATGGCTATGAAAGACAGATTTCCTCCATTTTCACATAGCAGAGCAGAGGTACTTCCTGCACTTTACTGTCTCCACATAAACACATGAACAGATATGAAACTATGGCTTCAAAATTGTAAACTATGATAACCACTGCCATAAAAAAAATTCATTTCAATAGATGGTGTGTATGCGTTCTATATTCAAAAACAATATCCACTTTGCTGCCAGTTTTATACTGTTCCTTACCTTAATTTGTCTCTTCATGGTAATACAGAAGAGGGTGATAAAATACATGACAAGAATTGGCCAAAAGACAGGAATGTTGAAGCAATCAAAGAACGTGCAGATTACTGCAAACACTGTTGACTTTGTCACCGAATACCAAAACTTGAACTCGGGAAGTCGGCGGATGAATGGTCGGAACTCTTCATTTGCCCTTGTGGGTAGCTCTGGACCTTCATCTAAAACATTTGATATTACACAAGTAAGCTACAAAGATGGGCTGGCACATTTCATAAACCACATAACTATAACTTCAACCTTGGCAATTACAAAAATCTAAGTACCTTCATAATCTAATGCAGGATCTATCTTGGGTGAAAGGAATGCTATGAACAGATTTAAGTGGTAAATCCCCAAAGCATATGTAATAATGTACCATCCCTGAAACAAAGACATCACATTTAAATACACTTAATCTTCATTAATCATTTCAGTTACCTATATCTGTAAAAATACACTAAAAACAACAATATATATTGAGGAAAAATTGAGAGCTATATATACATCAGTATAATAACAACAAAAACCATAAAATAATGAATAGAACAATTAGAAAGAATGCTTGAAAGCAGAACCCCACAGATGTTCCTATTGATATAAAATGAGGGACAGAAGATACCATCGACATATGACAAAGAAAGAAACAGTTTCAGTCCTTGTAACTGGAATAAGCTACGAGCTTAATCCATAAAGGTGATGATGATGAAGAGTATGGACTATAGGTTAGCTGTGGCTAACAATCAATACAGGATGATCCTCAAGGTCCAGGATCAAAGAACTGAAAAAGAAAATCACTAAATTATAGGTTCATATGAAAGGTCCAAGAAATGAACACTGATCATGTTATATCCCTTTGATTAATGGAGGAAAGTAGAATGTCTGACTTAAACATTAATCATAACCCAAAGAACAAATGTGGTACAAAACTACAAATATCCTCTAAGCCACAACCTGGAAAAAAATCTGATATTCCCCTAGTAACATTCTTGCCCATCTAATACATTAAGAAATATGCTACATGTAATAAAAACAGCAATGCTTAGTACTCATAAATCTCATCTCTTCTCACACAACAATACCCAGCTATCTGAGAAGCACTAAATATATTTCTACTTGTACTTAAGTTATGCAGAATCTCTGCCTCAAACCATCAACTGACACCACAACCACATATTAATATACATCTTATGGGGCATATTTTCAGTGAATACAAAATTAAATATATATAAATTAAGTATAGCATTTGTGCTATGACATGTTCTACATCCTTCGCTTGGGCCCATGAAGGATCCATTGAATATAATAAATTATATCCTATTCTACCATATTTTTAATAAATCATTAAAAGTTGCCTGAATGAAACCTATACTTTAGTTTTATAGATAAAATACCCATTAAAATACTGAATTTATGATTAAATACTGCTATCAGTTTCAAATCTGCATACATTTACCCTTGCATATCAGCCTATTAGTATAGGCCACACAGAACATACCTGCAGCAGAAAAACTCTTCCTAGGAAGGCTAATGTTAGAACAGCTGCAAACAGCCACCTTGCCATTGCATATGGTGTAACATCATCTAGCATCTTCTGGTAGATCTGAGAGAAATTAGGAGAAAAAAAATTAATTTTTCCCGCTACTTTAGAACAAACTTTGGCACTACATGAGAATCTGCATATACTTGTTTCCACCTACAGTACTAACTCAACTAATTATATAATAGCAAAATTATCTACAATAATTTATGGCAGACAGCTAGCAGAGGTGGCATTATATTGAATGACATGGGGAATTTCTGTTCCAAGAATTTAATGGGCACAATGTGAGATTTGTGGCATTCAGAGGAATGTTGTATCAGAGTTTCAATGTAAGAAGAACGTTTTCATACCTGTTGTAGGCGTTTCCAAGCTTTAAATACCACATTCCCTTTGGAATTAGAAACTGTATCATCACCTTCCATCATCATAGATATCGTACTTCATCTACCAGTTTACTCGTCCAACAAATAATTCCGTCAGCCTGCGTGTTATAAATATTGTATTAGGTTATGTTCTATACATATATTACATTAACAAAAAATGTAATGAGAATGATCAAGCAGCACAAATAACAGAGTTGTATACAATATCATTCATCTGTAGAATCAGTTCTTGTTTTCAAATGCATTAATAAAATCAGATATTTTAGGTTTTATGTGAGCTAAAGCAGTCGAAAATCGTAGCCCTTGTGAACGATCCCAGAATAAGCACCTCCAGCTACTATGCCTGAATGGCCGTATACTGACCATATTTCTTACAACACAGTAATCCTTACTTCTTGGTAAAAATGTGTGACTGTCACTTTATACTTGCATGAAACTATCCACGTCGACCACCTTTTAGCCATACAGAATAATCGAAAAGTTCGCAGATAATACACCGTGTATCCACACCGACGAAACGAAACAACAGCGATGTCGTGACAAATTTAGATAACACAGAGATCAGAGCTCTAGAGGCCGTTTCACAGCTAGTCGAAATACATAAATAATGTAGTACATATGATTAAATTCATTCTTAAATGACATGAGACCAGCTACATGATGCAGAGAATTTCCGGCAATGATTATTATTGTGTTTGTATGGAGCCCCTGGGCCTATTACCGAGTTCACAAAAGTGTGTCATTAAACTCTGTGCAGCACCTAATCAAACGCCACATCATCACACATGAATGATAGTATAGAATACCACTTTAATGTTGTAAAATTATGCCAAAATCTCTGACTACAAAGGCTATGATGTAACTTGACAATGTGAAAGTGAAGAACTAAACCCTGCCTTTTTCTTACGATTGATGTGTTCACCACGGATAACATAGTTTTCACAAAAATTGACAGTAGAACCACGGTTCCGGAGAATCTGGCGTAAATACATCTTTGTATTTAAATTACATTTAGGCAATAAATAGAATGAAAGGAAGTTTATATATTAGCTTTATTCTAAATATTTCCTTTATCCATGCTTTGCAATTGAGTAAATAGTTTGATTAAGATATTGCTTAATTATCTATCCCTCATACCTTCAGCATTAGTTTTTGGTATTTTTTGGAAACTTCAGGTTCATTATTTAATACTTCTATTTCTTTTACGTTTTCTGTACTGTCTCATATATTCTGCATTACGGACTCTTTTAGCTTCAATGTCATCCATCTTGTTATCTGTACATAGTATGACGCAACACAAACACAGCAGTAGCATGAAGTGCGATGCGCCTTTATCCCTTACCTCGAACTTTGTTCAAATGTAAGAGACCACGATGTCCACGGACAATGATCAATTTAATCAAAACTAAAATGGAGGGAGTGGAGGGCAGTATCACAGATTTCTTAATAATTCTTATATAAGATAAGTATTTGTGATATTCTAAAACGTTTTTAACAGCACAATATTATCTACTCTACGACGCACTTCTTCAACAAGCGATTCACAGCTCAGTTCTTTCCGCAATAACGAAAGCGGATTGTTGACGGCAGTAATGAAACACAACAATGCCGAATAAACAGATGACATAACAATTTCTTATGTAAAGTAAAAGTAAAGCTGTCCCACTATACGCCATGTAGGCCCTTGGGGGGGGAGTGGAGGTATAGCTCCTACTCATTCTTGACCTCGGCACTAGATAGGGGTAAGTGGTCAGCATCACGCCCCGGCCGTGCTTTACCCCCGGGATAGAACCCCGGTACCCATTGGATAGGAGGCTGGGTGGGCCCCAGAGCCGGTCTGGACGCAGAGGCTTGAGAAAAATCCTCTGCCCCCATCGGGGATCGAACCCCGGTTGCCCAGTCCGTAGCCAGTCACTATACTATGTAAAGGAATAAAGCAATGTTATGCACGCAGGAGTTCATATAAAAGCTGACCATTGTCGGTCCATATTTACACATTGTTCGTATGGATCTTACACATTTTCCTAACGCTGTTTTGCCGAATAACCCTTCCGTATAGACGTATTTACGTCAAAAATGCTTGAAGTCACATGTCAGGTAGGGTAAAAGAGATTTTATATGTTATAGATAAATATTCAACACTGTACGGTATACAAGGTTTTAAGATTTTTAAGGGTGAAAGAGAGATATTTATAACCGACTTTTCACTTTGGCTGCACTGATAAAACAGACAAGTACTATGACGCGTTATTTATTGTTTATATCGTACATAGGTACACGGTTTAGGTATATTAATATTAATTTTTCTGTGCACACAATGACAGATATATGTCATATATTTCTCGATGATATATATGGTTGTGGGCTTCTTTACAAATAGCTAACCGTTGTGAATTTGATGTATATTGTTTTACTAAGATTTGTTTGGTTATGTTGGTTATTAACTGGATACAGAGCATCCTCATATATAAATATTCAGTTCCCGTCAGGGTCAAGAATTGT